ATTAGAGCAAATACGGTAACTGTTTTATTTGGAATAAACGGTACTTTGGTTTAAATATGGGTATAGATTTTGCCAATATCCAGGTATAAAAATGGTCACACTTTTGAACACCCAGGACACCTTCCCACCCAGCTATGTATCAACTGCTAGAAAGGGCTATCAATTCAGAATGAAATAGAAAGTGAGAGAGGACTACCGTGTCAGAAAGTGCCAACGGGATGGATTACCATGTCTGGGAGGACTACCATGTCACAAAGGAATACCATATCAAAAACATTACCACGACAGAGAAGGACTACAAGTCAGAACGAACTACAAATTCAGAAAGGACTACGAGAACATACTAGTAGTCAGAAAAGACTCCCATGATAGAAACGACAACCATGTCAAGAAGAAATAAAAACAAACATGATTATATACATGTACCACAATATCAATAATAAAGAACACGTGATGTATAAAGAGAATCACACTACGTGAAGTGAGTTGAACACGTGATATATATAGAGAATCACACTACGTGAATTGTGTTGAACACGTGATATATATAGAGAATCACACTACGTGAAGTGTGTCGAACACGTGATATATATATAGAATCCAACTACATGAAGTGTGCTGAACACGTGATATAGAGAGAATAACACTACGTGAAGTGTGTTAAACACGTGATATATATAGAGAATCACACTACGTGAAGTGTGTCGAACACGTGATATATATAGAGAATCCAACTACATGAAGTGTGCTGAACACGTGATATATATAGAGAATCCAACTACGTGAAGTGTGTTGAACACGTGATATATATAGAGAATCCAACTACATGAAGTGTGCTGAACACGTGATATATATAGAGAATCACACTATGTGAAGTGTGCTGAGCATCTGGTATATAGAGAGAATCACACTACGTGAAGTGTGTTGAACACGTGATATATAGAGTGAATCACACTACGTGAAGTGTGTTGAACACGTGATATATAGAGAGAATAACACTACGTGAAATGTGTTGAACACGTGATATAGAGAGAATCACTACGTGAAGTGTGTTGAATACGTGATATAGAAAGAATTACACTACGTGAAGTGTGTTGAACACGTGATATATATAGAGAATCACACTACGTGAAGTGTGTTGAACACGTGATATATAGAGAGAATCACACTACGTGGAGTGTGTTGAACACGTGATATAGAATCACACGACGTGAAGTGTGCTGAACACGTGATATATAGAAAGAATCACACTACGTGAAGTGTGTTGAACATGTGATATATATAGAGAATCACACTACGTGAAGTGTGCTGAACGCGTGATATATATAGAGAATCACACTACGTGAAGTGTATTGAACACGTGATATAGAGAGAATCACACTACGTGAAGTGTGTTGAACACGTGATGTATAGAGAGAAGCACACCACGTGAAGTGTGTTAAACACGTGATATAGAGAGAATCACACTACGTGAAGTGTGTTGAACACGTGATATATATAGAGAATCACACTACGTGAAGTGTGTTGAACACGTGATATATAAAGAGAATCACACTACGTGAAGTGTGTTGAACACGTGATATATAGAGAGAATCACACTACGTGAATTGTGTTGAACACGTGATATAGAGAGAATCACACTACGTGAAGTGTGTTGAACACGTGATATATAGAGAGAATCACACTACGTGAAGTGTGTTGAATACGTGATATAGAGAGAATTACACTACGTGAAGTGTGTTGAACACGTGATATATATAGAGAATCACACTACGTGAAGTGTGTTGAACACGTGATATATAGAGAATCACACGACGTGAAGTGTGCTGAACACGTGATATATAGAAAGAATCACACTACGTGAAGTGTGTTGAACATGTGATATATATAGAGAATCACACTACGTGAAGTGTGTTAAACACGTGATATAGAGAGAATCACACTACGTGAAGTGTGTTGAACACGTGATATAGAGAGAATCACACTACGTGAAGTGTGTTGAACACGTGATATATATAGAGAATCACACTACGCGAGTGTGCTGAACACGTGATATATAGAGAGAATTCACACTACGTGAAATGTGTTGAACACGAAGTACTAGTATAGAGAGAGAATCATACTACGTGAATTGTGTTGAACACGTGATACATAGAGAGAATCACACTACATGAAGTTAGTTCGTTACATGAGCGGATTTAGAGGGGGCCGAGGGGGCCGCCCCCCTATTCTTAACAACCAACAGGGCTTCGGGCCATCGGAACATGGCCTTCGGCCAACTTATCGCCGCCCCCCCGCCCCCTATTCCAGAATCCTAGATCCGCCCCTGCGTTAGTACCTTCCATGATATGACTGATATATTACATTATATCATATTACGGGTCGATATACGGATATTTCGATCTGAAAAAACATTGTTGAAACTGCCTATCGACCAAGACAAGGGTCAATATTTGTATTATTATACGGAATATAGCGAAATAAAGCGAAATAAAAACATTTTGTAAAAGGCTGCACTGCAAGATTCCTCCTTCCTAGGTTTCCAATGGCATCCACAATTTTGTCCGTTCACAAGTAGTTATTCTATCACACTTCTGATGGCTGTATTTTTTATAATTCCTTCCTAAATTGCTGTCAAATTATTAATTTAGAAATATACAAACACACTACGATGTTCACACGATATGTAACACGCGCGCACATTAGCAAGACAAAATCGCAATGTGAAATGAACAATTGAATTGAACCCACATGATATGCGATGCTCATTGAGTCATAAAATTAACTTTAAATAGAAGCACTAAATGTCGTAAGCAAATCCTGAATTACGTAAGAAAATTTAAGTTTCAACGGTAGCCCAGTAAGGTCATGTTGTTCTATGATTATCTCCCGGTAAGGGATGGGCCATTATAAACTATAGGGCGGTTACGGCAGAAATAAATGTACAAAATATTATTTTTTTCTAATTTACTTTCGTGCTAATTTCTTTGTTTGCAGTAAATAAGATAACAAGTTGCACTACAATGAGCTATCTACATAAATATTCTATTTATAATATTTAAATTGCCCGTGTCAATTTAGTCAGAAAACCCCTTTTGATGTGACGCCCAAATCGCAGAACCGTACTAAAGAACAAATCTTACTTAAGTAAAATACACAAACGTAATAGCTTGAAATCATGAACGAAATAACAGATATGTTTAATAAAACCAGGGAACTTGAAGGCCCTTGGGAAAATTGAATTAGTATGATGGTAATATGAGAAATTGGAAGATAAATAGAAAGCTAGGTTCTTAATGATATATACTTATTCTAGAGTAGTACACCTGAAAGAGTAGTTTATGCTTGGTATTGGATCCTTCTTTAATGAAAAAGTTATGAATTTGTACTTGAAAAATACGAAATATGGTCACACCATTCCACTAACTTATTTGCATCCCTATTTGTAGATAATGTGACGACGTTCTCAGAAGCAAAGATTGATAATCAAAAATATCGACAGCCAAATGCGGGGATCTGACTGTTTGTTAAGACTCGGAGGAAAAACAATAAATGGTATCTTCAAGTTTTAATTTCAGGAGCATTTCACTTTTACTGTGTACTGTTTATGTTTTACAGGGGTGTGCCAATAAAACTGCTAAGCAACTCTTCAATAGTTAAATATTTGATTTCCAATTTTATAATCAACACATAAAGCTAATACATGACAACATGTTGTATACATGAGTCATTATGTCATGTTAACGGCAGATAGTTCCTGCTACTAACACCTGTTGTAAGTGTTAGACTAGAGGGAAGATAGATTGTTTCTAATATGTTATATAAATAATGCACTGCTATGAACTCCAAAAACTCCATGAACGAAACATATTTCACGACCTGCGTGAAATTTTAACCTTACTTATACACAATTTAAGTGATAAAGATACAATTATTATATGTTGCACGATTACGTTACATAGTAGAAAGGTATTATACATTTCAGCTTATATAGTGGACCAATATGATACAACTAGTAGTAAGACAACTATTTGTGGAAACCAGAAACCTTGACATGTATTTATCGTTGCCCTTTGAAACTATTGCGCTCAACCTTAGGCAACAAGAGATGCATTACATGGCCTGTTGCTAGGGATCACAGAATCCTAAATAATGATCTCCACTAGGAACGTGGCAGCTTATGTATACGGACGATATTTTAGAGATATTGCTATGATCTCTGATGTCACTCCCAGAAACCAAATCTTGTTTACATTCAAGTATATTTAGATGATTTCAAAAATGAATAACAAAATGTAAAAAAATGGTTTAATGAATATTTTAGTAATCTCAAGGATTCCACGTACGTGTAATAAACAGGACACATTCAATCTTGAACTGTGACGTATGAGTTCGAGGATGGATACTCACCATTGTAAAGCACGAGGGTTTCCACATGTTATATACTCCGAAAATATTGTGTAAACAGTCTCTTTAACCCCATCACGCAAATGCATAGAGTTATAGAAGTTAAGACAATAATATTTATAATGTAAAAACATTTCCATAATATAATAGTTGTTGAATATTTATTTTGTTTATAAATAACTTTATACCGACCCAGAATCAATGTAATCGCGTATTTATTCTGCCACTCTTCGTCTGTCCTTCTCTTACCCGTTCAAAAATGGAATGAACCGATGATATGTTATTATGTACAGGCGACGTACGTGAAAACGTTCAGCAGGATAAAACGCCGGACTCTCCGCACGTTGAGAGACACGTCCCGCATTGTCATGTTTGGTCTCCTCGGAGGCACTCAGCTATTTCTGCCCAATATATAATACTGGACCTCCTCGTTAAATTGCTGTGCTAGCAGCTTGTCAACGAATCGGGATAATCGACCAGTGTAGTGTAACGTTTTAACCTCATTTGAACACGACCACAACCCAGTAGGCAACTAACAACTGTGGCTGTTCCTGATTATATGACTTTGTATATGTTGTACTATAAGTATAAGAATGGAGTACGCTGGGCTAGGAAATAATAGTTTTGTCGTGACAAACGCAAGCTGCACAAAGCAAAGTAATTGCACAAGTTATGAAGTCATTGTGGACATATTCAATCAAACTGTTGCAGCCACGGATACGTACGGCTCTGGCTCAATCATTGTCAACTGTAGCGACACGTCTGCCAACACCAGTAATTGTACAAGTGGACCAGCACTACCAGACATTGGCGTACACAGTCCTGGTTTAAATCGACCCATCATAGTATTGGTGTGTATAGGTATAGTTTTGAGTGCCATAATCTTCACTACCACGCTGGGGAATATTTTAGTTATATTGTCACCGTGTGTTAATCGCCGTCTGCGCTCAGTTACCAACACATTCCTTGTGTCACTTGCACTTGCTGACACGCTGTTAGGCATACTAGTCCTGCCATTTAGTTTGTACTTAGAAATACACAGAGCATGGCACATGGGACCTGTTTTCTGCAACATTTACATATCATTAGATGTTCTCTTGTGTACAGCCTCTATCCTCAATCTATTCGCTATATGTGTGGACCGTTATTTTGTCATCACCCGACCTTACCAGTATCCGATGATGATGAACATACGGAGGGCCATGGTTGTAGTGATAATTATATGGGGAGTGTCTTTGCTAATATCATTTCTGCCTCTAGAAATGGGATGGAACACAGATGACGGAAAAGTTCAAAACTACGACGATCCTCGACAGTGTAGCCTGGCAGCGAATGCCACATACGCACTTGTCGACGGTATTCTTCTGTTTTACGTGCCGCTTACTACTATGAGTGTCATGTACATTCGAATTGTACTTATTGCCAGAGAGCAAGCTAAGAAAATAAAAAAGACATCGGTATGGGACGCTCAATGTAGAAGATCTGTAGATGAACATAAGGCAACTAAAATTATCGCGATCGTCATGGGCTGCTTTATTGTCTGTTGGGTTCCATATTTCACTGTCTTCACGTTTTGTCCTATCTTTGAATGTAAACCATTAAGTCCTGATGCCTATGCCGTGATTCTCTGGCTAGGTTATTTAAACAGTGCGGTTAATCCATGCCTTTATGCGGCTCTTAATCGGGAATTCAGACAAGCATTCAAAATCTTACTTCATCTCAACCGGTGCCCGTCTCGTAAAAAACGCCGTCTTAAGAAGAACCGTGCTTCGACTAGAGGCATGTTGCCGATGCGTACTAGCTCAAATATGAACTCTGGTAACGGCACCGCTAAAGAATATACTGTCGTGAACGGATCGAAAGTATGAAAAATGAAGTGAGTCAAATCAAACTGTCGCCGTCCAGTCTTTTAAGACCCATTTCAACAGGACATTCTTGTATACTGTTTGTGTAATATTGATATTGACATACGTAGTGTAGGTCAACACGCACAGTGTCCTTTCTGCACAAGGACATCGTCAACGAACAAGGTCTGTATTCGCATTGGGTTCCATATAAATGTCACGTAGTTTAACAACATGTACAGTCATTATATTATTTCATTTAATACAACAATTAGATACCCAATGTATGTATTTTTAGCACATATTCAGACTATTTTCAGACAAGTATACTAGTATTTATATTTTACAACGGTACCGTATTTATTCGAGATGTACAGCCGACAATGTTGACATTTACAAAAAGGGCTATGGCTTTTCAGGAAGCATAACTACTTAAATCACAAGAAAACCACAAGCAGGGAAACAAAAAGGAATTTCATGACTGTTAAGTGCACCTTTTTCCACAACAATGCCCCGAACTCGGCCTTCCGTGGAAAACAAACACGCTGTACACGGGCGATGCAAATTGTGCTGATGACCACTATCTCGCCATTGCAATGTGATTAAGTGAATATAGAATTACTCTTTATATTTATACCATACCCTAGCCATCTGATTTTATCCGAGCGCTGGCAATCATGTCAACACTTGTGGAAATTAACCTTCCTAATCCTCAGACAAATTTACAGTATGTTTTTTATGAACACAGAACGATAAGTTATTGTGTTTTTATACATGTAATAATGATATCATTAACAAATTACCTTTTTATAGACATTGTTATGCCACATGACTTTTTGTAATTACTCGATACATTTTTAAGTTTGATAAAACTACGCTGAAATAATAGCGAGTATCGGTTATTATTTATATCGTGAAAGTTTTCAAATCATGACTTTCTACATTGCACTAGTGTTTATGGCTAGACACATTGCACTTGGGTCCATGGCTTTCTACATTGCACTGGGTTTATGACTCGATACATTTAACTTGGGTCCATGGCTTTTTACATTGCACTGGGTTTTTGGCTAGATACATTGCACTGGGTTTATGGCTTTCTACATTGCACTGGGTTTATGGCTAGATACATTGCACTGAGGTCCAATTGGCTTGATACTATTGCCTGGGGGTTCAAATTGGTACAGACACAAAACATAACGGAATCTGTTTCTTCTGTTTAGATACGTACGTGTCTTTGCAATTGCATACTGAATAATGTAGCCTCTTAAAATTAAATGAGGGTTCCCATGACAACAACGCATGCCGATGGATCTAAACTGAGAGATATTCTTTTAACTACCAATCACACAATGTTTATTGAATATAATGCACAAACCAATAGTACCAACCATCCCGACAATTCCGTGGAATTCTATGTGCATTACACGGGCCATGATGTGCCCACCTAGCTCTGACAATTCAGCGAAATGATATATGCGTTACATGGCCATGCATACAAGCTTCGATTGAAAACGCTTACTAGAGCTCATTATTCAAGCAGATGTAATTTTTTGTTTGTATGGTTCAATTTCCATTTTTTGTAATACGGATGCCTTTATAGACAATGAGTTCTATCCAAAAAAAGTCAAATGAGAGACCGTCTTGGAATTTAATGTATCACATACTTCTTATTGCGGTTCCGATGGGCGATTTCGAACAAGTTTCATGCCATGATAATACAGCTTTCTATTATACCCAGTCACAGAAGCTCCTTGCATGCTTATATTCGACTGACTTTGTTTGTTTGTTTATTTATTTTTTTTAAATAAGAAGTTTAATGTTTTCAAGGCAACCATAGTCTTATGGTGTCATGGTAGCAATGAGCTAGTTCATAGCGAATCAGACGCTGATGGGAGCATATTTCCAGTTATTCGAAACTGTAGTAAAAACAATAATTTGGATATTTTGTGTACTACTGAACGGGCCCGTGTTGGAGCAATACTGACACTTAGCTTGGTCATTGCCATGACAAGCTAAATTGATTGATGCGTTGATTTATGTACTTTAATATTTTTTCTATTTTTCCATAATTGTCATTTATAAATGACCGCTATCAATCTCGACAGAGAAATGATCAATTTAAATTGTCTATTTTAATATTTTATCTCCGTAATATAATAATTGGAGTAAAAGCCTGCCGTGGACCACCATGTGGTAATGAAAAGAAAGCCTTTATATGCCCTGAACACCAACTCGCCATAGTTCGTTGATAATTTTCATGCTAAAGTGAGAATACAAGAAAAAGACAGATGAGCGTGACGTGTAAATGCTCTACACTTTCCCAATAACACCTATTTATTTTAATTATTGAAGGTCCGTTCTATTGGATGAAGTGATCATATATATAGTGGCAAGT